TCAGCAGCAGATTCGTGGATTTTTACAAACCGCTTCCTGTATTTTTTATCTAAATCTTTGATATAGTCTTCTATTTTCGTCCAATTTGGATTTATTGCCATTTGCATAGAAGCATCGTCTCTAAAAGGAGTCAGTTTTCTGACATTATCAAATGGTGTGCAGCACTCTTTCATCAAAAGACCCGAAATTTTTAATTCGTTTTTGTCAAGATTTTCTACAAAAGCCTTGAAAATATCCTCTTTTTTTATGTTTTCTTTGAAAAAATACCCTTCTTGGTTTGACCTAAATAAATTTCCACAAATCCAAAAAGTGAGATTGCACGAAACGGCGGTGATTGACTGAATAAAACACTCTATTTTGTGATTTTTGAGTAGATTTTTACCCAATTCAGTTATGGGAAGCTTAGCTTTCTGAAGGTAAATGACGCCAACTAAGTCATTTTGGCTAAATATTCTTACAAATTGTCCTTCAATGCTTGTATTGTTTTGCAAAAAAAGCAAATTAGCACTTTTTAAATGGTGGTTTTCTGGTAAAAAGTCATCCCATTCTGGCTGTATGCTTGTCAGTTCGTTTTGAAATGTAAACTCAAAATCTAGGTTTGTTGGTTTTTGACAGAATATAGCAGTCATCAAAAATTTGGATGGTTTCGGAAATAATACGTTAATATGCCTAAAATGGTTCAAAAAGCGTCACTTTTAAAAAACAGAAAATTCTTTTTTTTATTATTTGAAAATCTTTCATAGTTTTGCATCATCAATTCATTCTTCACTGATACAGTAGCTGGATGGTTGATTTATAAAGACGAGCGGAGAGAATAGGCTCTATGAAACTCGGGCAACCTGACGATACCCATCGATAAGGTGCCAATACCTACCTAAACGGCTCATTGTGGCCATTAGGACTTATAAACCAATCAAGCGATTTTTTCAAATTCCTGTTGGTTTTACGCTATCTCCGAAAATCGGAGCTGGAATTGCTTTCGAGCAATGGTGTGTTTAATTTTTTTTAACTATTTCAAACCATGTCAGATTTAAGATTTGAAACGCTACAGCTACATGCAGGACAAGAGATTGACCCAGTAACTCAATCTAGAGCGGTGCCTATTTATCAAACCACCGCTTACCAATTTAAAAACTCAGAGCACGGAGCCAACCTTTTTGCTTTGAAAGAATTCGGGAACATTTACACCCGAATCATGAATCCAACTAACGATGTTTTTGAAAAACGTCTTGCGGCACTGGAAGGTGGTGTGGTTGCTTTGGCCATTAGTTCGGGCCATGCAGCACAATTTATTGCTATCAATAATGTGACAACGGTTGGCGATAACTTCGTTACAAGTTCATTTTTGTATGGAGGTACTTTCAACCAGTTTAAAAATTCATTCAAAAACATCGGTGTTGAGGCAAGATTTGCAAAAGGCAACGATTTGGCGAGTTTTGAGGCTTTGATTGATGAAAAAACGAAGTTGCTTTATGTAGAAACCATCGGAAATCCTGGTCTAAATATTCCTGATTTTGAAGGATTTGTAGCTTTGGCAAAGAAATACGACTTGCCACTTTTTGTTGATAATACTTTTGGAGCGGGCGGGGCTATTTGTCAGCCACTAAAGCACGGAGCACACGTGATAGTTGAGTCAGCCACCAAATGGATTGGCGGACATGGAACTACGATGGGTGGTGTAATTGTAGATGGCGGAACTTTTAATTGGGGAAATGGGAAATATCCGCAGTTTACTGCACCTTCACCAAGTTATAATGGTTTGGTATTGAATGATGTTTTTGGTATTTGTGGACCTTTCGGAAATATCCAGTTTATTATCCGTTGTAGAGTAGAAGGTTTAAGAGATTGGGGTCCTGCACAATCTCCTTTCAATTCGTTTTTGCTTTTGCAAGGTTTAGAAACCCTTACTCTGAGGGTTGAGAGAACTTGTGAAAATGCACTTGCTCTTGCAAAATGGCTTGAAGCTCATTCTGAGGTAGAATCAGTAACTTATCCAGGATTATCCAATCATGCTTCGCATGAGGTGGCAAAAAAATATTTGACTCGTGGGTTTGGAGGTATTTTGTCTTTCAAATTAAAAGGAGGACGCGACAGAGCCGAGAAATTTGTAAATAGTTTGCATTGATTTCTCATTTGGCGAATGTAGGTGATGCCAAAACTTTGATAATTCATCCAGCTTCTACTACGCATTCGCAACTTTCAGAGGCTGAGCAATTAACAGCTGGTGTTGATCCAAATCTGTTAAGAATTTCGCTTGGAATTGAGCATATTGAAGATATAAAAGCAGACATAACACAAGCTTTAGCATAGTTTTTAATTCCTCCTCTGAAAATTGGTTCGGAGGAGGTCTTTTTACAAAAGAATAAAATGGTTAATAATAAGGTATTTAAGTTGGATGCACCTTTTCATTTAGAAAGTGGTGAGTGGCTGCCCGAATTGGAGCTGGCTTACACTACATATGGTGAACTCAATGAAGATAAGTCTAATGTAGTTTGGGTCTGTCATGCTTTTACTGGAAATGCCAATCCTTCAGATTGGTGGAGTGGATTGATTGGAGAGCGTAGGCTTTTTAATCCGAAAGATTACTTTGTAATTTGTGTAAATGTGCTTGGCTCACATTACGGATCTACCAATGCCTTAAGCGTAAATCCACTTACAGGACAACCTTTTTATCATGATTTTCCTTTTATTACCATTCGCGATGTCGTTAATTCTTTTATTGTTTTAAGAAAAAATTTGGAGATAGATTCCATTGCTTATCTTTTGGGAGGCTCATTGGGTGGTCAACAGGCCTTGGAATGGTCGTTGATAGAGCCAGAAGTGATTAAAAAACAGATTTTGTTTTCTACAAATGCCGTTCATTCACCTTGGGGTGTGGCCTTTAACGAAAGTCAAAGAATGGCAATCGCAAATGATCCTTCTTGGGAATCAAGTACTCCCGATGCTGGAATGGAAGGCATGAAAGTAGCCAGGGCGATTGCATTACTTTCTTATAGAAACTACGAAACTTACAACAGAACTCAGTCAAGAGACGCTGGTCAAATTGATTTTTTTAGAGCAAATACTTATCAAAATTATCAGGGGGAAAAGCTATTGAGGCGTTTTAATGCTTATTCTTACTGGACACTTTCTAAAATGTTTGACTCTCATGATGTGGGTAGAAATAGGAGCGGAGTCGCGAAAGCCTTGGAATCTGTTTCATCAAAAACTTTGGTTATTGGCATTACATCAGATATCCTTTTTCCACCTGTAGAGCAAGAAAAAATTGCCCAGCATATTCCTGGAGCCAAATATGTTGAGATAGATTCAACTTATGGCCATGATGGTTTTTTGATAGAATTTGAAGCGATGACCAATGCCATTGTGGAATGGGAAAAGGGGATTTGATTTTTCTTGGGTTGAAATTTTTTAATTTTCAATAGCACACGGATTTAA